TGCAACCAGTTGTCCTGTCCCTGCAGCTGAAAAACACCCCCATAGCATGATGCTGCCACCACCATGCTTCACTGTTGGGACTGTATTGGACAGGTGATGAGCAGTGCCTGGTTTTCTCCACACATACCGCTTAGAATTAAGGCCAAAAAGTTCTATCTTGGTCTCATCAGACCAGAGAATCTTATTTCTCACCATCTTGGAGTCCTTCAGGTGTTTTTTAGCAAACTCCATGTGGGCTTTCATGTGTCTTGCACTGAGGAGAGGCTTCCGTCGGGCCACTCTTCCATAAAGCCCCGACTGGTGGAGGGCTACAGTGATGGTTGACTTTCTACAACTTTCTCCCATCTCCTGACTGCATCTCTGGAGCTCAGCCACAGTCTTCTTTGGGTTCTTCTGTACGTCTCTCACCAAGGCTCTTCTCCCCCGATAGCTCAGTTTGGCCGGACGGCCAGCTCTAGGAAGGGCTGTGGTCGTCCCAAACGTCTTCCATTTAAGGATTATGGAGGCCACTGTGCTCTTAGGAACCTTAAGTGCAGCAGAAATTCTTTTTTTTTTTGTAACCTTTGCCAGATCTGTGCCTTGCCACAATTCTGTCTCTGAGCTCTTCAGGCAGTTCCTTTAACCTCATGATTCTCATTTGCTCTGACATGCACTGTGAGCTGTAGGGTCTTATATGGACAGGTGTGTGGCTTTCCTAATCACGTTCAATCAGTATAATCAAACACAGCTGGCCTCAAATGAAGGTGTAGAACCATCTCAGGGATGATCAGCAGAAATGGACAGCACCTAAGTTAAATATATGAGTGTCACAGCAAAGGGTCTGAATACTTATGACCATGTGATATTTCAGTTTTTCTTTTTTAATAAACCTGCAAAAATGTCAAAAATTCTGTGTTTTTCTGTCAATATGGGGTGCTGTGTGTACATTAATGAGGAAAAAAATGAACTTAAATGATTTTAGCATATGGCTGCAATATAACAAAGAGTGAAAAATTTAAGGGGGTCTGAATACTGTCCGTACCCACCTGTAAATTAAGTGCAGGCGGCACATGTGGCAGCAATATGATGCTGATACTAATCAGCTCATAATGGTAATTACAGAAAATAGGCCATTCTTTCATATTAAGTAACATGGTCTCCACTTTTGAACAGAAAGTGAACAGCCTCTGTCACTGACTGAACACAAAGTTCACAAAGTGGCCAGTCACCAGGACATCATCTAATATCAAGTGTGATTTTATGGGTTTAAATGTCATTTATTCATGACTTTACAGTCTAGATCAAGGGTGTCCAAACTTTTTGCAAAGAGGGCCAGATTTGGTAAGGTGAACATGTGTGGGGGCCAACCATTCAGTCTGACATTCTTTGAACCATTAACATTAAATACAAATGACCTATTTTAGGAAATTTTTATTGCAAATGGCATACTTTTTTTATATACTTTTTTTTTTCATTTTTTAAGTTTTTACCAAAATCACTCTGCCTTTCATATTTGAAGACCACATAAAATGAAGAAAAAGTCTGTCTGGAAAAAAAACTTTTGGGAAGATTAAACATATCTAGGTTCATCTGAAACATTACATATTATTCACTATTAAATGCTCAATGTAAACTTCTAAATTCAAAACAGTGGTCAGTGCATATTCAAAACTGTGGTTTTGATCATCACAAAAAAATCAATTCACTGAGATTTTAGAATTTATTCACCTCAGAGGACTAATCTTGCCTGCACTAATGTGAAGGGTGATACTGAGATCTTGACTGCAGTATGCAGTCCAGGTCTGGCTCAAAAACAGTGGTTTTGATGCGCAAGACGTCACGCAGGTGAGAGTCACCTAGTCTCGTCCTCACGCGGCTCTTATTAATGTTCATGACTGAGAATGTCTTCTCGCACAAGTATGTCGAGCCAAACAAGCTCAGCATTTTCTTAGCGAATGTTCGAATCTCTTGGAACCTGCCTTCATCCAGCTGGCGGTAGAAGTTGACAAGAGGGAGCTGTTGGTGCTGACTGCGACACTCGGCGTCACACTGCAGCTCAATGAGCTCCAGCTGCAGGTGGTC